CTGCGGCCGCCCAAGTGGTCCTCCATGGGGAAAAATCGGCGGCCCACACAGTGGTCGTCTCTGACGACCCACAGGCTGACCCCAGGGACATTTACAAGGCTGTCTGCGCTGCCCACACCCTACCCCAAGGTGTTTGGGCCTCTCTGCGCACCAAGGGGAAGCTGGTCCTCCATTCCAGCAATCCCAACATCATCCCTGAGGTGACTACCTCCCTGGCCAGCAAGCTAACGGGAATGAAGGTCCGCCAGCAGAAGGAGATCCTGCCAAGAATCTGCCTCTTCAGAGTGGATGAGGAGACCTCCAATTCCACAATCGAGGAGACCTTCCTGGCAACCGCCGCTGTCAGCCAGCTCCCCGGGAACAAAGTGGTGCGCGTGGCGCACCGTTCTGCACTCAGAAACGGGACCTGCACCGCCTTCATCGAGGTGGACCTCAAGACCTTTGGAGCCCTGGGCAACCGCGGAAGAATCGTGGTTGACGGTGTGATCCTCAACTTCGAGGCGTCCATCCGCGCCCGCGTCTGCTTCCGCTGTTGTGGCTTCGGCCACAACTCCACCCACTGTTCCAGAGCTCCCAAGTGCTTCCACTGCGGTGAAGACGGCCATGAAGGCCGCTCCTGCCCAACTAGAGCTGACCAGCACACTTCAAAATGTGCCAACTGCTGCCAAAAAGGCCTCTCAGACAACCACGAGGCGAGAGCCTCAATCTGCCCCATCCTGAAGTCAAAGGCCCGCACGTTTTAGGCTTCAAAAAAACCCTCCGCCTCCAACTCCTCCCGCCACCTTCTACTGGTTACTGGACCCCTGCCTCACTTCTCCCAGGCGCTGTTCCCCTGCTTTCCCAACGTTTCCACTTCCCTGCGAGTCTTCTCCTGCCGCTACATCCTCCTATTCCTTGCCTCCTCACATCGCGCATGGGCTCAAAAATCATTACTTTTGGTTAGTAGCCCGTTAAACCACATATAAACAACAACAACAATGTAATTTGCATCTTCATTATTATAAAACAACAACAAATATAAAATTAGCAATGTAAAAATATATTTTAACATTACATTTTAACATTTAACACAAAGAAGTTACAATATTTTGTTTAAATATATATTAATATTAATTTTTTTACGTCATTGGAATATTATATTACTGATTTCTCAAATTAAATTTATTATACTTGGAACGCATTTTAAGCATTGTTACAATTTATAAATATAATTTCACCAGAAACCGCGAGAGGCGCTGCTTGCGAGTGAAAGTAGAAAATTTGCAAATAAAATTGCAAAGAATATTAATTTCGATTCAAATTCAAACCAGAAACCTTCCCAGTAGTATAGTAAATAAATTCCTAAAGTTTCAAGGCGATTGGATAATCTTACATTTTAAAAACATTCATCGTGTAAACAAACTAACATTCATTGTGTAAACAAACCACGTGTGAAAATCTTTATCAATAAAATTCATTTATCGTCGCGACCAGAGCTGCGTCCAAGCGGTAAAAGGCTGGAACTAACGCTTTTTGGTTTAATATAAAAAAGAAACATATTAACCGTTCTAGTTTTTTGATAGGCCTATAAGGTAAACGAAATCTTCAGCTACCTACATGCGAAATTCCATAATGATTTATTCTGTAGATTTTGCGCAACGCGATAACAAACATCGATTTTGGATTTCATTTTTATATATATACTAGCGGATGTGTGCCCGGCTTCGCCCGGGTTTTATCCGAGGGAAAGTTTGCCTAACGAATATTATTTATAACTAGCCGAATGACCCGGGCAACGCCTGGGTTTTACCCGATTAAATGTTTTTAATTCAAATACCGCCGTGGATTTCACTCTTGTGGAACGTCCCGCTCTAAACTTTGTGTGTTTTAAAATATAAAAATAAATATGTAAATTTTCACAAAGATATTTTAAAATTCTATTGTTTTGATTTTCAAATACTATTTGTTACAATTATAAATTGGCGCCGTGGATGTCACTCTTGTGAATCGTCCCGCTCCAAATTTTGTGTTAAAATAAAAAATTGAATATAATAATTTTTAAACAAAATATAAATTTAAAAAAGAGGATATATAAATATATTGAAATTAAAGAATATTTACATATATCGTACATAGATGGCGCCACGACTTAGGTCATTGGACCATTATTTCGCATTTTCTCCGCTAGAGGCACTACTTTCGAGCTAAAAGGCAGAATTCCACGCAAATTTGCAAATAACTCGAAGAATATTCGGGATATAGACCTGAAATTTTCACTAAAGTTTTTCCAAATTCTACTCTATATACTTTTAAAATTTCAGTCGGATTAGTTACGTATTGTGGACGTGTATAGCCGACATAGATACACACATACATACATACACTGACTTTTATATATATAGGGATAATATGCCGGAACAAACAGAATATTATGATAATAATGATAATAATATCTTTACATTTTTATCTATTAACTAGACGAATGACCCGGGCAACGCCCGGGCTTACCCGATTAAATGTTTTATTCAAACACTATTCGTTACAATTATAAATTGGCGCCGTGGAGGTCACTCTTGTGAAACGTCCCGCTCCAAACTTTACAGTCAGATTAGATACGATATAAATCTTCAAATCGAGCGAGCGTCTATAAATATTTCGATTTAGATCAAGTATTCTAATTAGTAAGCGAACTATTATTAATAAAATTTGAAAAGATTTCGATTTTAAACGTATTTATAACCTTGATAGAGGGCGCTGTTCGTGAGCTAAGTAGAATAATTTGAATATATAGTTTTAATATTTAATTTATATATAATACTAGCGGGTGTACCCGGCTCCGCCCGGGTTTTACTCGAGGGAAGTTGTTTACTTGGCCGACTGTTTTACATAAGGCGTTATCTTAAAATTGCATGTTTTGAATATTTGTTTAGATTGAGATTATTAGCTAGTATGTAAAAAAATTAACTCTGTTGAAATTTAATTTTGTATTTTATATAAATAAAATTAACTCTGTTGATTTTTTTGTATTCAATCGATAACAGCGAAGTTACGCATGTTAATGTTAGGACAAATATTTTGATGTTAAGCAAAACCTGCTCCATCTCGTTTTACATAAATGTTGAAAATTTGGTCGAAATTGATGCATTGTAACGAAAGTTTTTAGCGAACACCACTTATGAAATTTCCATTTTATTAATCTATATATATAAAAATGAATGTATGTCTGTTTGTCCTTTATGCCTGACCAAACCACTCATTGGATCGCCATGAAACTTTGGGAAGTTATTTAGTATAGTACTGGGAAGGTTTCTAGCAAATAAAATTTTTGAAATAACTTTTCGCCTAGATATAATCAAGATATATATTCTAATTTATCTGTTATAATTCAACAATCTGCTCTAAATATTATCATGATGATACGATGATTTTGTAATGTAGAAAATTAGGAAAGACAAAATTCAGGATGACACGGCAATTTATTTGAGACAAGAATAATGATACAATTCCAAGGCAAGATACTATTCCTTTAACTTCCAATTACGGAGGGAACCAATTAATAATGATTTTATTCAACTTATCGAGTATTTTTCAAGGGACCGGGAAAAAATGTTCACTTTATCGAGAGATTCGTTAGACAAACCTTTACTCGGGTAAAATCTGGGCGAAGCCGGGAATATCCATTTCGTAGCTACACCGTCTCTCCAAGAGGCAGTCTCTTATTAAAGGTCTATTAGAGATTCTTTAATAGCAATTAGAATCTTCAATGAGAGACCACCAACAGGAGAAACAAGTTGATTCATGTTTTTAGGTGGTCTTTCTTAAGAGACTCTATTTACATATTTATAATATGAAAAAAATAAAATATTTTAAAATTAAAATATTTTAAAATCAACATTTTCTTACTGTTACGTTTAATTACTGTTAATATCTATATATATATATAAATGAATGTATGTCTGTTTGTTTGTCCTTTATGCCTGACCAAACCACTCATTGGATCGCCATGAAACTTTGGGAAGTTATTTAGTATAGTACTGGGAAGGTTTCTAGCAAATAAAATTTTTGAAATAACTTTTCGCCTAAAAATAATCAAGATAATTATTCTAATTTATCTGTTATAATTCAACAATCTCCTCTAAATATTATCATGATGATACGATGATTTTGTAATGTAGAAAATTAGGAAAGACAAAATTCAGGATGACACGGCAATTTATTTGAGACAAGAATAATGATACAATTCAAAGGCAAGATACTATTCCTTTAACTTCCAATTACCGAGGGAACCAATTAATATTGATTTTATTCTACTTATCGAGTATTTTTTCATCTATCTATATATATAAAAATGAATGTATGTCTGTTTGTTTGTCCTTTATGCCTGACCAAACCACTCATTGGATCGCCATGAAACTTTGGCAAGTTATTTAGTATAGTACTGGGAAGGTTTCTAGCAAATAAAATTTTTGAAATAACTTTTCGCCTAGAAATAATCAAGATAATTATTCTAATTTATCTGTTATAATTCAACAATCTGCTCTAAATATTATCATGATGATACGATGATTTTGTAATGTAGAAAATTAGGAAAGACAAAATTCAGGATGACACGGCAATTTATTTGAGACAAGAATAATGATACAATTCAAAGGCAAGATACTATTCCTTTAACTTCCAATTACCGAGGGAACCAATTAATATTGATTTTATTCTACTTATCGAGTATTTTTTCAAGGGACCGGGAAAAAATGTTCACTTTATCGAGAGATTCGTTAAACAAACCTTTACTCGGGTAAAACCCGGGCGAAGCCGGGTACATCCATACAAGAATAATGATACAATTCCAAGGCAAGATACTATTCCTTTAACTTCCAATTACCGAGGGAACCAATTAATATTGATTTTATTCAACTTATCGAGTATTTTTCAAGGGACCGGGAAAAAATGTTCACTTTATCGAGAGATTCGTTAGACAAACTTTTACTCGGGTAAAACCCGGGCGAAGCCGGGCGGGTCCGCTAGTATAGATATAGCATAGTGTGTGTGTGTGGTCATGGCATCTGCCCGGTAAGCGGAAGGTCGTGGGTTCGATTCCCATCCCTTGACACTTTTTTTTTATTTTATCCATTCTGACCAAAATCTATCCGTGAACTTCACACAGTGAACTTTACACAGACAGAATAAGGCAATTATTATATAGGTAGATTAATAATAATAATTATTATCATTAGATAATGATAATGATCATAATGATGATGCGCGCGTTGATGACCAAAATCTATCCGTGAACTTCACTGTCGTGGCCTCTGTCACGGATAATATACAGTTATCATCGTCATGCGTTCTTAATTCTGTCACCGTTTGCTTTTGGTTCAGTGGTAGAATGCTCGCCTGCGACGCGGGCGCCCCGGGTTCGATTCCCGGCCGATGCATTTTTTTTTTTTTACAATTTTTAAAACTCATTTATATATTATACAAGAATGGCATCCACGGCGCCAATTTATAATTGTAACGAATAGTATTTGAATAAAAGCATTTAATCGGGTAAACCCCGGGCGTTGTAGATTATAAACACAAGGTAATAAGACCACATCCATGATAAGGTACAGTTTGGATTATAGATTATAATCACAAGGTAATAAGACCACATCCATGATAAGGTACAATTTGGATTATCTATCTACTAGACGAATGGCCCGGGCAACGCCCGGGTTTACCCGAGTGCGCATATACTTTAAAAACGTTTTAATTCAAATACTATTCGTTACAATTATAAATTGGCGCCATGGATGTCACTCTTGTGAAACGTCCCGTTCCAAACTGTGTGTTTTTAAAATGTTTTAATTAAAATACTATTCGTTACAATTATAAATTGGCGCCGTGGATGTCTCTCTTGTGAAACGTCCCGCCCCAAACTGTGTGTGTCTTGAAAATATAAAAATAAAAATGTGAATTTTCATAAAGATTTCATCATGTCGATTTTTTTTTTTGCATTTCACCTACTAAATCGATAGAGATAATTACATTTGCAACATGAACTTAGGTATATTGACTAAATAGAAAACTGCATAGTAATAAAGATCATTTTTTAAAGGCACCATATCGTTTTTTTTTCAATAAAATCGAAACAAAAATTAACGATAAATAACGATAATTGCCTTAAAAAGAAATTGCCTTAAAAAAAGAAACATTCGCGGAGATTTTGTCTTGCATTCGTTTATACAATTATTATATACGAATGACCCGGGCAACGCCCGGGTTTTACCCGATTAAATGCTTTTATTCAAATACTATTCGTTACAATTATAAATTGGCGCCGTGGATGTCATTCTTGTATAATATATAAATGAGTTTTAAAAATTGTAAAAAAAAAAAAAAAATGCATCGGCCGGGAAACGAACCCGGCCCGCCCGCGTGGCAGGCGAGCATTCTACCACTGAACCACCGATGGTTATGAAAAATCCCATCCGTGAGCTTCAAACAGACAAACAGACAGAATAAGACAAATATATAAGTAGATATATATAAAAATGAATGTATGTGTGTGTGTTTGTCTGTCTGTCCTTTATGCCTGACTAAACCACTCATTGGAACTCCATGAAACTTTGGGAAGTTATTTAGTATAGTACTGGGAAGGTTTCTAGCAAATAAAATTTTTGAAATAACTTTTCGCCTAAAAATAATCAAGATAAATATTCTAATTTATCTGTTATAATTCAACAATCTGCTCTAAATATTATCATGATGATACGATGATTTTGTAATGTAGAAAATTAGGAAAGACAAAATTCAGGATGACACGGCAATTTATTTGAGACAAGAATAATGATACAATTCCAAGGCAAGATACTATTCCTTTAACTTCCAATTACCGAGGGAACCAATTAATATTGATTTGATTCAACTTATCGAGTATTTTTCAAGGGACCGGGAAAAAATGTTCACTTTATCGAGAGATTTAAATTTACGAGTTTCAAATTATCAAAATATATCGATTATTTTTTGCATATGTTATATATAAATGACATTTATGTAGGGATAATATTTTATTGTTAATTTTCATTCTGATGTATTGTATACATTTGATCATTAATAAATTATTATTTAGGTATTAAAACTGCCTTTTTGTTCAAAGACAGCAATGTTTGAACGGGTACAGCTAGGTGGAGCAGATAATCAAACATAAAGTTATCTTGTCAAGTATAGATTCAGTAGGGATTGGATGTTTTCTAGAATTGTTTTGACAAATGTTCGTTAGGTACACTTTCACTAGGGTAAAACCCGGGCGAAGCCGGGTACATCCGTTAGTAGATTATAAACATAAGGTAATAAGACAACATCCATGATAAGGTACAGTTTGGATTATATATTATGAACACAAGGTAATAAGACCACATCCATGATAAGGTACAATTTGGATTATCAACATATATAGTCACGACCGTCTTTCCTCAATTCCTCATAGCTGTCACGGATGCCCGCGCATCATCATTATGATCATTATCATTATCTAATGATAATAATAATTATTATTATATTATTATTATTATTATTTTATTATTATCAACATATATAGTCACGACCGTCTTTCCTCAATTCCTCATCGCTGTCACGGATGCGCGCGCATCATCATTATGATCATTATCACATTATCTAATGATAATAATAATAATTATTATTATCATTATATTATTTTTTATTATTTTTTATTATCAACATATACAGTAGAACTCCTCAAATTCGGAAAGCTTGGGGCGCAAGGTATTCCGAATTTGAGGATTTTCCGAATTTGAAAGAGTTAGATTTGTGAATATTTATGTGGCATAAATAGGCATTTAGATGACTGAGACAAAGATTTTGAAGCATATGAACAATTTTAGGTTGAATATTATATGTACATTACATAATTTTAATTACGATTTTTAATCAAATGTTCCTTGACTTTTATGAGTTTTGAGCATGAAATAGTAAAATATTTTATTATGTATGTAATGCAATTGATGGCCAAGTAAGTTATGGCTTGGCAAAGAAGTTGCTGATTGTTGTCTGTTTCTTTGGCTTGTTTAACAAAGCTTCTTCTTCTCTCATAAGCATAGTTCGAAGACTATTGATGGTGTTGTAGCTTGCAAGCATTTCTGGTTCAGTGCGCTTTTCCAAATATTTTTATGCAACATCCAAACTTTTCAACGCTTCGCATCTGGGAACATCCCGGCTCCAAACTGTCTTCAGAAGTTGAGGAACTATCATCAGAACTGCTGATTTCCATTTTTTCACTCAAAACAGCTTCAACTATATCATCATTGCTAAGAACATTGTGACCTGGATCATCAAGGTCTATATCGATCCATTCATTAATGCTTTCTTGATTTACTTCAATTCTAGCTCTTTGAAATATTTGCTCCAGCCGTCTAATTTCTTGTTCATCTTCGTCAGATTCATCCTCGGATAATTGTAATACATCACCTGCTGTTTCCAAATCTGAATTATTTTTGTGTTCAAGCAAAATCTTCCATCCATTTCTTATTGTAGAAGATTTTAATTCATCCCAAGAATTTCCAAAATTGAATATCGCTTTCTTGATGTCGTACTTTTTTAAATTAGAAAAAGTTTGTTCACCCACAGAGTTATTTGGCTGATCTGCATCACTTGAAAATACTAAACAACTTTCTAACTGTCTTCGTTTATACAACCTTTTAAAGGCAACAATAACTCCCTGGTCCATAGGCAGCAATACAGATGTTGTATTAGGTGGTAAAAACTTGCATTTAATGTTGCCGTCATTACTGATCAGCTCTGTTGGATGAGCAGGAGAATTGTCAACTAGTAGTAACGCTTTTACTTGAGATCTGGAGCAACTCTTAACTTATTTTCTTGAAAATTGCGAACTTCGTTTATGAACCGTTTAAAAAACCATTCACCAAAATGCTTTGATTAAACCAAGCCTTGTGTGAAGAAGAGTAATGAACAGGCAATCGATATTGATGTTTTTGATTGCTCTTGGACGTTTTGATTTTGCAACAACAGCCAAAACATTTTTATGTGAAGCGTCTGCATTTGCACAAAGTAAAACAGAGAGTCGATCTTTGGATTGCTTATGACAACTAGCGCTGTTTGCATTTTTGACTTGAGAATTATCGGGTAATGACTTCCAGTAAACTCCTGTTTCGTCAGCATTATAAATTTGGAACTGTTCATACTTTTCGTCAGTCATTAGTTTGTGAAAATCATCTTTAAAGCGATTAGCTGCATCTTCGTCAGCACTCAATGCTTCCCCGACAACTTTTTTATTTTTCAAATTATGTCTGGCTCTGTATCTTGACAACCATCCACCACTAGCTTTAAAAGTGGGATTATTCAATTTTGATGCAAAATGACTGGCAGCTGTTTGGAGTTCAATACCACGAATAGGAACCCCTGATAATCTCTGACTTTCGTACCAGATGTTAACTGCTTTATCAACATTTTCGTATAACGGATTTTTTACTTGAGAAAACTTTTTGACATCTTTTTCGGTAGAATCAACAAACTTTGTAAGTTTAAGCTCAGACTTTTTTATATCATAAACAGTTGTCTTAGAAATTTTATACTTTTGCATTATCGTTGTATAGCTCAATCCTTTTTTAATGTCACTAAGAACATCTAACTTTTCACCAAGCTTAAGAATTCGGTACTTGCCTCGTTTTTGCCGCTCCTCTTTGGATGCCATTTTGTTGAAGAACAAACTTGTAAATGCAAAAAATTGAGAGTTGAATAAAAGAATTTGAAACTTACAATGTCTGAAAATGTTTGATAATTTAAACTTTAGGTGAATCAACTTTGCAATAAAAAATGCGTGAATGGCTTATGACGTAATAATGCTGCCTTCTTATTGGACAATATCCTAAACTAAGCACAAAGGTCAAATGAAACTGTTGATTTATTTAAGCTTTTAAAAAAGGGGATAAACCCCTAATTAGCGATTATAAATAATCGGTAAGAGTAAATTAATTAAACACTTAAATTAAAAAATAAATTACTAATAAAAATTAAATTAAATAAAATAAAAGCAAAGCAAAAGTAAAAGTAAATAAAATAAAATAATGTTGAAATATCAACAAAATAAAAGCA